CAGGACCATCAAACCCAACGCGCTCAGACTTTGTTTTCCCCAAAGCAGGGTTTGCCATTCCCAAACCTTGGCCCGATGCAGGAGGAAAAGGCCGTGAGGAGGAGGAAGACTGCCCAGGAGCCCCAGGCAGGTGAGGAGGAAGTCAGTGCCCCTTTCCCCCTCTCTCCTGCTGCATCTCCCAGCCCAGCATGGCCCCGGGTGCAGGACAGCCCTGCAGGTGACCCTGTCCTGCCAGGGATGCACTGGGGGGATCTCCTTGTCCTTCCCTGTGGCACGGAGCCAAATCCCATCCTCTCCTTGTCCTTCCTCCCCCAGACCAGGAGCTGATGATGGAGACCAGGGAGGTCAAATCCCTGCAGTAGAACCTCGCGGATGAGGCTGTTTTAAGAGGCTCTGCGGCACAGGAATCCAACAAGGAGGAGAAGCCCTGGAGATCCTGCACGAGGAGGGGCTGCAAATGCAGATCACGGGGATCCGAGGAGGAAAGACCCACCCTGGGCTGGGGTGGTGGCCAGAGCTCGGAGCTGAAGGTCAATGAGCAGCTTCAGGATGGGGAGAAGCCCCACAAGTGCTCGGAATGTGGGAAGAGTTTTAGTAAGAGATCCTACCTCATCAACCATTTTATTGTCCACACTGAGGAACAGCCCTACGAGTGTGGCGAGTGTGGGAAGAGCTTCAGGAGGAGCTCCCACCTGACTGTCCACCAGAGGATCCACACTGGGGAGAGGCCCTATGAGTGTGGAGAGTGTGGGAAGAGCTTCAGCAAGTGGTGCAACCTGGACTACCACCAGAGGATCCACAATGGGGAGAGGCCCTACGAGTGTGACAAATGCTGGAACACGGACCAACATCCAAAATCCCTTTTGTAGAGCTGATCTCTTGACTCCTGATCCCAGAAAAATCTCAATTTTTGCATCTTCTGGTGGCCTTAAGCAACACTGGATAGTCTTGGAGGTCTTCTCCAACATAAATCCATCCTTTTAATTCTCTCTGGCCCACGGGCATCTTCCACAGCCAGATGGGGACGGACTGAGGCAAAACCCTCAATTTTGGAAACAGTGGGGTAGAAACCCCTCCCAAAAAGTTTCTTCCCACCCATTCAAGCACGTGGATGCTCTGCTGGCAGTGACACATAAATCATTTTGTTTTGGCTTTGAAATGAAAAGGTTTCTGTTCATCCCTTTGAAAGCCCTGAAACTGGGGTAAAAATAAAGGTGTTGAGCTATGGCATGGATGGGGACATGTGGGGGACAATGACCTGGGTGGGGCCATGGGCAGACATGGACATACATGGGAACATGTGGGACATGGTGGAACACAGACATGGATGGGAACATGGGACATGAACAGGGACAACATCAGTGCCATCACCTGCACCAATACAGTGCCACCAGCACCTTCATCTCAGCCTTGGCAAGGCACTGCCTGATGCAGTTCCTGTCACCATGTCCCCATTGTCACCACCGCGGTATCCCAGCTGAATGTCACCACCTATCAGGGCAGGGTGGGGACATTATTCAGCTGCTGACAAGTGGCCTGAAAGCAAGTGACAGACACCAGGGTGTCCCAGGGCCACCACACTTAGGGGATCTCAACTGCCCCTGGGGACACGGCAAAGGTCTGTGTCACCTGGGGGGTTACATTGCCCCGCACTGGGTGTCACCAGAGGTGACCTGGTGGCAGCATTCACACAGGTGTGGTGACATTGTCCTCTGATGTGTCTCCTGGTGGCATCGTGTCCCCTCCCCTCTGTATGTCCTCATCCCCCACCATGGCTCCCTGTCACCCCTCTCTGTGTCCCTGTCCTGACCCACGTGTCCCTGTCACCCTTCTCTGTGTCCCTGTCCTGCCCCTATGTTTCCTTGTCCCCTTCTGTATGTCCCTGTCTGTCCCCCTGTGTCCCTGCCCCCACCCCTGGCAGCTCCAAAGTTCCCGAGGTCTTGGGGTCGTGTCCTGCAGGGTCTCTCTGCGTCCTGCAGGGTGTCCCCATGTCCCTCAGGATGTTCCCATGGCTGCTCCTGGTGCTGAGTGTCTGCCCCCACCCTGGTACCAGTAGAGTTATGCCAGGACACTCTGTGACACCCTGTGACACCCTGCGACATCCCACAACTCCCTTTGTCCTCTGATTTTGAGTCCTTCCCCCTCCATTTTCGGTCCATCCCCGCTGCTGTGGGTCCCGCTTTAAACCACCCCAACATCCCCCAAAATTCCTCACCCATGATGTCCACGCATCCCCCTGGAAGTCCCCCCAGGCACTCGGGCACAGAGCTGTCACGGGTGACATTGAGCCATGGGATCTGCAGGCTGTCCCCAAGGGTGGCGCTGGCTGCCACCTCCAGCGGCCCCTGCTGCAACTGGTCCCTCATGGTGGCCAGGACTGCAACCTCAAAAATCAGTCAGTGACCCTGAGAATTCATCAGGGATCCCAAAAACCCCATGGGAATCCCACAGGACAGGTCCCACATGGCGGCCAGGTGTGGGGATGCCAAAAACCCCAAAAATCCATCAGGGATCCCAAATTCCCATGCTGGGGACAATCCTGATGTGTCCCTTAAGGAGTTGAGGAGAACCCCAGGATGTCCACCCCTCCCTGCCTAGTGTGTCCCCCCTCACCCTCCCTGCCTTGGGGACATTTGGGGACACCCCCCTTACCCAGGTGTCACTTCTGGGGGTGGTCCCTGGCGAGCTGCACGGCCACGGCCAGGCTGATGTAGAGCAGCAGCTGGTGACAAGGACAGTGGGCCGGATGGGTGGCCATGGTGTCACCTCCTCCACCCCGGGCAAAGGCTCTTAACGGGATCAGCGCTCATGTGGCATCAGGATTATGGTCAGGACAGGGGGGACAAAGTGGGGTGACACCTCAGTGTGTCCCCAAGATGGGGGCAGACAAAGGGAGAACCCCCCTCGGGGTGTGGCAGAGATTTGGGGACATTTCTGGGGACAGCACAAAGTGTGGGGTGGCTCCACCCCCTTCACCTGGGGACCCTAAATCCACTTCCTGTCTCAGGGGACTTTGGGGAGCCCAAATCTTCCTAAGCAGCCAGAGCGAGCTCTGAGCTCTGGGACCGGACACCGGGACTGCCCGGATCAGGCTCCGAGCTCCGGGGCCGCGCACCGAGGACGCCCTGGACCTACCAGAGACTCCTTGTGCTCACTCCAAGCAGCAACACCGGACCCCAGACTCACCGGGGACCCCCAGCCCGGGCTTTGTGCTCAGGTACCGAGCACTGGAGATCCCTGGGATGCCCCCGGAATGCCCCCCATGGCCCCGGGACGTCCACCCCAGGCCCCACAGCCCAGTCCGGGCAGGTACTGAGCCCTGCAGGTGAGCTCCAGGCCCACCCCAAAAATCATCCCCAGGGAGGAGTATATGGGGACCCCAAAGACACCCCAGGGTGGGGAGGGGAAGGTTCAGGGTCCCCAGAGACCCCTGGCAAGGGTTAATTGGAGGGTCCACGGCAGATTTTGAAGGTCCTGAGGGTGTTTGGGGGTGGGATCCTCAAACTTCAGGGGGTCCCCAAAACTTTTCCCCTGTGGCTCTGGGGGAGGACCCAAAATTATTGGAGCCCCACCAGCCCATCCATGGTGGGGCTCTCAGGGTTTCCCACAAAGCACAGCGCAATAATCGCTGAGCTATTTGCACAGCTGCCCGCCCACTGCATTAAATCACATCTGAGAGCCGACTTTCATTTGCATATTACAGCAGTCCAGGGTCATGGGTGACTGAGCCTGTGCCTACAGCTCTCAGCTCCAGCTGGAGTTGAGCCTGAAGACCCTTTAATTTTGGTTACAATGCATGATATACTTTTCTTTCCTGAGCATCTTAATACAGCAGAACCAATCTATACCTTAACTTTTACCTATAGCCTATCATAACTACTCTAATTACCATATTCATGTTAATATTCTCCAGTCACTAAAAGTTGGTATGTTACAGTTGAAGCTAGAAGTTGTTTTTCAGTTTTCTTGCAGTGGAAAATTCTGAGACCTTTTTTCTACTGCAACATCTGCTGTCTTGTTTGCCTGTGGAATCTTTCTGCTTGGAAAAATATCTTCTTGTTTGAGGTGGGTTTATCCTTTGCTCTAAGCCATAAAAACCCCTTCTAATTAACATATCCTTTGCCTCCTTGGTTATCCACCAAGACTGCCTCAGCAATTCTTTCCTTCTATATCAAAATTTGCTTTCATTTCTATTCCTTCTTCAGATTCTACTTTTCCCCCTTTTGTACCCCATTTTCCCCTTTTCCCCCCAGCTCATTAGATTTTCTTTTTCCCCACATTTTTCTCTCAATTCCTCAATTATTTTCCCCTCCTCTTCCTCCTCCTCCTCCTCCTTGGTTCTTCTGGATGGAGAAGAACCATCCATGGAGCTGCTCTGCCTTCTGTTTTCCCTATTTTTTGAGGGGAATTTTGGGGACAAATATCATCTTTATTTCAACAGCAAATTTAAAAACTCTCTCTACCCTTTAGTGGGACTTGATGACTTTTACCCCACATTTTTTCTCTGTTTTTAATGAATTGTTTAAGTAATATTTCACTTTCTTGCTCCCAGGGCTGTTCTGCTATTTTCCTGCTTTTTTCTGCCTCTTTTTCCAAGATGAAGAGGCAGAAAAGGGGGAAAAAAGGATGGGAAAGGGGAAAAAATGATGGAAAAGGAGAAAAGAGGGTGGAAAAGAGAAAAAAAGGGCAGGGATGGAGAAGCTCAGATGATCCAGAGGGGATGGAGAATTTGGGGTGACCCTGAAGATTTGTCATAATCTCAGGAATGGGCACGGATCCTGCTGGAGACTGGGAATGGGCACGGATCACATTGGAGACTGGGAATGTGCACGGAACCTGTTGGAGATGGGGAATGGGCACAGATCCCTTTGGAGATTTAGAATGGGCATGGATTCTGGTCCTGGCACCGGAGGAGGAATTTTGGGAAGTGAGGGCGAGCTCCTGCTGGCTCTGAACAGCGCCAGGAAAAGGCCCTGCAGGGTTCATTAGGAATTTAATTGGGAATTAAATTGGGAATTTAATAGGGAATTAAATTGGGAATTTAAGTGGGAATTGAAGACACCCTGGATGGGGGGGATCCAAGGGGCTGGTGCGATGGCAGCATCGTCCAGTGGGAGGGCAGAGGGACTGGGAACAGGAATGTGGACAGGGATGGAAAACGGTACCAGGAATGGGGACAGAGATCGGGAACGGGACCAGGAATGGGGACAAGGGCCGGAAATTGGTAGAGGGATTGGGAATGTGGGACAAGGACCAGGAATGGGACTGGAAATATGGGACAGGGACCATGAATGAGAATGGGAGTGGGGACGGGGACCAGGAATATGGGACAGGAACTGGGAATGGGACTGGGAAAAGGAACAGGGACCGGAAATGGGGACGGAGTTCAGATTTGGAAACACAGATGGGGACAGGGGTCAGGAACACGACCAGGAATGGGGACTGGGACTGAGAATACGGGACAGGAACAGGAAATGGGACTGGAAATGGGGACAGAGACTGGGAATGGGACCAGGAATGTGGACAGCAACTGGGATCTGGAATGGGACTGGAATTAAGGGACAGGGACCAGGAACAAGGACAAGGAATGGGACCTGGGATTGGGAATACGGAAACAGAACTGGGCACGGGACTATGAATGGGGACAGGGACTAAGAATGGGAAGGGGAATGGGTAGAGAAACAGGGAATGGGGAGAGGGACTGGGATTGGGACCGGGACTGGGAATGGGGATAGGGACCAAGAATGGGGACTGGGACTGAGAATACGGGACAGAAACAGGAATGGGACTGGGAATGGAGACAGAGATTGGGAGTGAGAGCAGGAATGTGGACAGGGACTGGGACCTAGGATTGGGAATACGGAACAAGAACAAGGGACGGGACCAGGAATGTGGGCAGGGACTGGAACCGGGAATGGGACGGGAATTAAGGGACAGGGACCAGGAATGAGGACAGGGATCAGGAACAGGACCTGGAATAGGGAATACAGAACAAGAACAGGGTACGAGACTGGGAATGTGGGAGCTGGATTTGGAATGGGACTGGAAAAAAAAGACAGGGACTGGAAATGAGATCAATAATGGGGACAGGCGCTGGGAATGGGACAGGGAATACAGGACTGTCCTGGGTTGTAAAATGTGTGTATTCTATTTCCAATCTGTTAGAGGTGGGGCAGTTCTCTGCTGTTAATTGAGCAGTTTGCTTTATCTCTTCCACAAGCCATCCTCCCTCTGGGGAGATATCTTCTCTCAATGGCCCATTGAGCCTCACGGCATGGCTAATAAAATTGCATCATCCCATTGTGAAATGCTCCACCCAAGGAGAGGAGCCAAGCATTCCTACCTGAATACTATCTGAGATTTGGAACACCTCAAGCAGCCTTTTCCCACCGGATTGCCAGAGGAAGACCAGGCCCATCTACACCACCACTGGATCTCCAGAGGAAAACTCCACCCTTCTGCAGGATCATTCCTTCAACAGAACCAGATCTATCACTGCAGGAGGACTGCAGCCACCATTTAACTGGACTGCTACCAACACTCTGGCCAAGAGGGTGTCAGGGTGGATTCTGACTCTTTCTATGATATTTTTGCATGGGACTGGGACTAGGAATGGGGATCAGGACTGGGGACCGGGACCAGGAATGGGGACAGGGACTGGGAATATGGGACAGGGACCGGGACCAGGAATGAGACCAGGAACAGGGACAGGGACCAGGAATGGGGACCAGGACTGGGGACCGGGACCAGGAATGGGGACAGGAACAGGGACAGGGACCGGGAATGGGGACCAGAAATACGGAACAGGAACCAGGTATTGGAGTGGGAATGGGGACCAGGAATGGGAACAGGGACTGCAAATGGGAGCGGAAATATGGGAGACAGACCTGGAATGGGACTGGGGATGGGAATATGGGAACAAGACAGGGAATATGGAAATGGAAATATGGGAATGGGAGTGGGACCAGGAATACAAGAATGGGAACAGGACAGGGAATATGGGACAGGAAATATGGAAACAGGAGAGAGAATATCTGATGGGGATTAGAAAGATGGGACCAACATCGGAAACAGCTACACAAGAATGGGACTGGGAATGGGAATATGGGAACAGAACAGGTGTCGAGCTGTGTGTGGGCCTTCAAAGAGACAAAATCTGTTGTTTGTGGTAAAGCTGTTTATTGCATGAATACATCAGTCTTGAAGGCAAAGAGTTCAGAGTATTAAAGTCCATGCTAAAAGCTTTCTAGCACTAAGTCCCGATGTTCTGAGCAGACAGAGCAGGAGCAACTCCCACAGCTTTTTTCTTCTTCTTTTTTTCTCTTTTATTTTTGCACCCCAGCACAGGAAGATTTTATTCATGAATCATCCAGTCAGCTAAAAACACAATTATGAAACCTTTTTTCTTACACCAATCTGAGTTTGATTCTAATGTGTAAAAGTAGTGTCAGTTCTTAGCCAAAATGAATGTCTATAGTTTATCTATTCAAGCAAATGGTTCTGTCTGCTCTATTAGAAATGAAATCTGCTCTATTAGAAATGAAAACATTGTTCTGCTATGTTTTTGTTATGTCTGGAACGAAGCTAATTTTGTGAAAGGTAACACTATTGAACTTTAAACCAGGCTTTAGGGCCTTTTAGTAGATAACAAAATCTCATCAGGTGCTATCCATATATTTCTACTTACGTAAAACTAAAACTTACACTTCTCCTTCATGTCTGTGTGGCTTAATATATCTTAGTTTCTCTAAAGGTTCTAATTTGATCCCTGCATTCCTTTCTCTCTCTGAGGAACTCTGAGAGGCTTCTACTTCATGCATCCCAACAATAGGGAAGATAGAAATGGAAAAGTGGGACTGGCAGCAGGACCGGAAATACAAGAAGGGGAATAGGACAGGGATAATGGGACTGGGAATATGGGAATGGCAACCAGACAGAGAATATGGAACAGGAACAGGGACAGGGAATGACACTGGGAATGGGATCTGGATTGGGATGGGAGCAGGACAGGACTGGGAGTGGGGTGCCATGGGAATGAACGGAGGAAGGGGGGGTGACAGTGGGAAGAGGGGGATCTTGGACAGGGGACAGTGGGAACTGGGAAAGGGGGACATGAGCACAGTTCCAGAGCAAGGGGTCCTTGATCAGCTGCCCCAAAACCTCCACCAGGGTCTCCCAGTGAAGCTGGAGCTGCTTGGCCTGAGGTGCCCTGAGCCCTGAGCAATCCCTAAGTGCCTCTCAGGAACCCTCATCTCCCCTGAACCCAGCATCCCCCACATCCCCATCCACATATTAGTTTAATGTCTTTAGTTTTACCCTGGTTTTGGGAGTTTTGGGAGGACTGTTGGAGTGGGTCCCCGAGGACTGGCAATGAATTTGCCTTGGATGACTGTTGTATTGTGTTTGTTATGTTATATGCTGATTTGGTTTGTTCCTTGTACCCCTTTAAGTTGTAATGGTTCTGCCCTGGTTCTCTCTCTCCTTGATCGCCCGTCCGTCACCTCTCTCCTCCCTGTTACCCCTAGCAACCATTGTATCCATTCCCTCAGTCCCTCCCTGGTTCCCTGTCTGTCACTCGGTGCCCCAGCCCTTCTGTCTAGAATCTTCCACCCTGGGCATCGAGTGATTGGATCAGGGGCCAGGACTCCTCCCCTGCTCTTCCCCCATTGGTTTTCCCTACATGCCTGTTATCCTCCCACCACTCCCACCTTCACTGTGATTTGCTGGAGACCACCTTTCTTCTCTGTATCCGCCCCGCTTTAAAAACCCAGTTGGAGGCCAGTTGGTTTGTCTCCAGCTGGTGGCTCCCCTGGGCATTAAACCTGGATTGCACTACCTCTGGAGTCCATCTCTTCTTTCTCCTCCTGTGGGTTAGCAGCCCTCTACCTCCCTCTCAGCCGTGGATCCTCGTCCCTTAAGGCGAAAGCCTTAGGCGCTCCCCTGACTGAGCCCCGGATCGGGAGAGTGCCCCCGTGCTGCCGGCGGTGCTGGCCGCAGCTAGCTGGGACACACCTAAAGGTCAGCCGCCGCTGCAGATGACCACACAGCAGGCTTTAGCCTCAGACCCTAGGAAGCTGAACCCTAGGAGGGAGAACATTTTGTTTAGTTAGGGTGAGGAAAGCTTAAAGAAGAGTTGCCCTATGGGAGTCAGTATGTTGATTAAGCTATCCATCCAAGGTTAAGTTCTAGAATGTTCCCCAGCTCTCCCCCCTTGACTGGTTGTTATTTGCTGGACTGTTTTACATATTCCTAATCCCAGTTAATAATTGAATCCCTGCCCTCAGATCTGCCCTTAAATCCTCCATATGGATATTGTTGTACCTGCCCTGTTCTGGGCCATTTGTGGTTAACCCTATACTGTGCTTGGCTTTCCTCTTTGTTATTTTCTCCTTACTGAAGTTCTGATGTTTTGGGTAACCCAATGGTGCCCCTCCCACTATTTAGCCACTGAACCTGGCTGACACCATCCCAGGGTTGTGGAAGCGGAAGCCGTGAAAAAGGACAAAGGGAAATTGAGGAAACGTGTTGCCTGGGCTGTTGGGGTCCACTCCGGCTAGCTCTAGACCCTTGCCCACACGATACTTCATAGACAAAGGTAAAAGATCAGAAAAGCGCTCTCCTCCACGTGGGAAACGTTATCCTTTATTCCAAGACACACATCAGGCGGACAAAGGCATGGGAGAAAAGAGGGCGTTCCCTAGCAGCAGGGAGCTTTTATATCCCTCGGGATGGGGACAGAGGGAGAGTCCACAGCCAATGGGACACCAGTGAGGAGTTGCGAGGAGAGGGGTAACCCGGGGGAGAGCCCACCAGGGGGTACCTGGACAGCTGAGGGAAAGACCATGTGATAGGGAAAAGGGGTAACACACCACATAATGTAACATAAGCTATACAGTGCAATACAAAGCTATTCTGTGCAAATTCCCAATCATCCAGTGCAAGAGAACAACTAAACTGGTGCACCACAACAAGAAATGAAAATCCAGGCCACTAAGAGGCAGGAGGATGTGAAGACCCCAGGCAGGTGTCTTCCCAATATGGATCTCTGGCAGCATGGATCACCGGGTCTCTGCCCACTGTGGTTCACTGAGCATCATCCAGAGCAGATCTTCCCGTGGGGGATGGAGCTGGAGCAGCACACAGACCTCTTCCCACACTCTGGGCACTCACACGGCTTCCCTTAGTGGTGGCTCCGTTGGTGTCTGGTCAAGGCAGACCGCTGCGAGAAGCTCTTCCTACACTCGGGACACTCGTAGGGCCTCTCCCCGGTGTGGATGTGATGATGCCTGATGAGGCTGGACTTGTGCTTGAAGCCCTTCCCACAGTCAGGGCAGCAGAAGGGCCTCTCATCTGTGTGAGTGCGCTGGTGGCGGAGGAGATAGGAATGGCTCAGAAACCTCTTCCTGCATTGCTCACACTCATAGGGCTTCTCCCCAGTGTGGCTCCTCATGTGGACAGCCAGGTTGGAGCTCCGGCTGAAGCTCTTCCCACACTCCCCACACTTATAGGGCCTCTCCCCATTGTGGCTTCTCAGGTGGACAGCCAGGTGGGACCTCCGGATGAAGCTCTTCCCACACTCCCCACACTCATAGGGCCTCTCCCCATTGTGGCTCCTCACGTGGACAGCCAGGTGGGAGCTCCGGATGAAGCTCTTCCCACACTCCCCACACTCATAGGGCCTCTCCCCATTGTGGCTCCTCACGTGGACAGCCAGGTGGGAGCTCCGGATGAAGCTCTTCCCACACTCCTCACACATGTAGGGCCGTTCCCCCGCGTGGCTCCTCAGGTGTTTGATCAGGTTGCTGCGGTCGCAGAAGCTCTTCCCACACGTGGCACACTCATAGGGCCGTTCCCCTGTGTGACTCCTGCAGTGTCTGGCCAGTTCCCAGCTTGTGCTGAAGCTCTTCCCACACTCCACACACTTGTATGGCCGTTCCCCTGTGTGGATTCTCATGTGGCGGATCAGTTCGGAGTTCCACCTGAAGCTCTTCCCACATTCCGAGCACTTGTGGGGCTTCTCCCCCTCCTGGAGCTGCTCATGGACCCCCTGCTCCAAGGTCTCAGCCCAATGCCAGTGCCAGTACCGGAGAAGGAGGAGCAGGAGGAGGAGGAGGAGGAACTGTGGTGCCGCCTCAAGTATTTCTTCATGAGCCTCTGTGACAAGTACCAGGCCAATGGCAGGCGGCTTGTGAGCCTTGGGCAGCAGCTCACCAAGGCCGTCCTTGTCACCATGCAGACAACACCACCAGGGACGGCGTGGATAGCGGGAAATTTGGAAGTCCTTTGCAGTTGGGATACAGGATACCCCAAACCAAGCGTGGCGAATCCTTCATGATTTGAGAGATTGTCTACGTCACCAATTCCCACCTGGCCAGAGCCAAGATTTGTTTCAACTATCACACGACCACTTCCAGCTACGAGGACATGGATATCCCCTTCCATAATCAGCCTCAGCCGTTCCATACCAGGAGCCCTGGTTTAGCAGCCGCCCAGTCTCTGGGGACACCCAGCGGTGTCACTTTGATCCGGTGTGCCCCCTGCTCAGGATCGCCCCCTGGTCGAGTGCCCCGAGTACAGGAAGAGATTTGTGAGCTGCTCCAGCCCCATACCCCATGGGAGGATCTGCTCTAGTTGATCCCCAGTGACCCACAGTGGGCAGAGCCCCGTTGATCCATGGTGCTGGTGATCCCTGATGGGAAGACACCTGCCTGGGGGGCTCCACATCCTCCTGTCTCCCCATGGGCACCTGAAGACATCCACAGCACAACATCTGAAATCCATTTTGGAGAGGGGATTTGTCGACTCCTGATCCCAGAAAAATTCACTTTTTGAGTCTTCTTGTTTCATCAAGCAATACTGGATAGCTGTGGAGGTCTTCTCCAATATAAATCCATTGTTTTAATTCCCTCTGCTCCATGGGCATCTTCCACAGCCAAATGGGGATGGACTGGGGCAAAACCCCTGATTTTGGAAACAGTGGGTTGGGAACCCCTCCAAGAAACGTTCTTCCCACCCACCCAAGCACATGAATACTCTGCTGGCGGGGACACATAAATATTTTTGTTTTATCCTTGAAACTAAAAGATTTCTGTTCATCCCTTTGAGAGCCCTGAAACTGGGGTAAAAATAAAGGTATTGAACTAAGGCATGGATGGAGGCATGTGGGGGACAGTGACATGTGTAGGGCCATGGGGGGACATGGACATGAGGGGACATGGGGAACATGGATGGGGACATGGACATGGGGAACACAGACATGGATGGGTACATTTGGGGACACATGGGGACACAGCCCAGGGTGGGGACATGACGGGTCATGGACATGGGTGGGAACATGGGAAACATGAATGGGGACATGAAGTGGAACAGCATCAGTGCCATCACCTGTGCCACCACAGTGCCAGCAGCACCTTCATCTTGGCCATGTCCATGATGCACTTCCTGTCACCACATCCCCACTGCCACCACTGCAGTGTCCCAGCCAAATGTCACCACCCACCAGGGCAGGACAGGGTCCTTGTTCAGCTGGTGACAAGTGGTCTGGAAGCAAGTGACAGGCACCAGGGTGTCCCAGGGCAACTGCACCCAAGCATCCCTGGGGACAGGCTGGGGACAGGGTAAGGATCAGTGTCATGTGCCGGAGTCACATGGTCCCATGCTGGGTGCCACCAGAGGCATCCTGCTGGCAGTGTCCCCACACTTGTGGTGACATTGTCCCCTAACGTGTGTCCTGCTGGCATCACATCCCCTCCCCTCTGTTTGTCCCTATCCCCTGTCGTGGCTGCCTGTCACCCCTCTGTGTTTCCCTGTCCTGCCTCTTGTGTCCCTGTCACCCCTCTGTGAGTCCCTGTCCTTATTTCCCCATTGTGTCCCTGATGTTGGAGAGAGGCATGAAACAGAACACACCGAGGTTCTTGCAACAACAGCCAACTTTTATTGAGTGCTTTTCTGATAGAGTTTTGAAGGTCTCTGTGGTTAGTCATAATTGGCTGAATTAGAGTCCACCTGGCCAACCAGCCAATAGCTAGCTGTGTCTCCAATGGCCCAGACCTGCTCCCCAACAGTCCAGACTGGTCCAGTTATACAGTTGAGGTACTTACAGAATTAGTTATATAACTGGTTCCATTTCATTTATAACATTAGGATTATTTATAACTTTGAGGTCTTTGAGCCAGCTGTTAGCCACCGCAGTCCCCCCTTTTTGTTTTTAAATACAAAAGCATTATCTGTCATCCTCTGCAGGGTTTTGCAGACATGGTGACAACAGATTCTGGCCTGGATGGTATGCCTCAAAGTTTTTAGTAGATTAAAAAATTGTGCATTATCAATTTCTTTTAACAGGGCTCGATCTAATCTCTGCGTGATGTCAGCAACATAGGCAGAGTCAGTTACACTATTTAAAGGAATATGGGGAAAACGTTGAAAAGCCGTGGCTACAGCACGTAGCTCCACCAACTGAGGTGATCCATTCTCTCAACCTTCCAATGTTTGCCATTCATTTTCCTCTCTCCACACTACAATGGCTTTTCCCGTTTTCCCAAAACCAACAGTAAATTCTGCAGCACCTTCTAGGGTTGTGCAACTATTCAGTGGTTTTAGGGATAGCTCAGTGGTCCCACTCAACTGCAGTAAGTTATGGCTTGGTAGATGGTGAGTAATCTGTCCCGAGAAATTTTGCAAGGCACGTTGTAAAGCCGTGCTGTTGTCAAAGCACCATTCAAATTGTTCTTGTGGCACAGATATAATAAATTTGGAAGGATCTCTTGTATTTAATTGTAAACATTTCTGATGGCATTTGATAATTAACTGTGCAATTATCTCAAAGATGATAGGTGCCGTCTTTTTAGGTTGGTGAAATAGGAACATCCATCTCGGGGTTTTCTCTGGTCGAGATGATCCCGAAAGTCTCTCTTCCCCAACCCAGATGTCCGAGAAGAAATCAGAAGTCTTCGGCTCGCGTTCTCAAGGTTGTTTATAATTTTTCATCTACAACATTTTCTGTCTGGCCTGCCGAGATCTGTCCTGCAGGTCAGTCTGAGGCACACTCCCCCACCACGGGGCTGGTGTTGTCTTTTATGCTACAAACTATGTATTCAATATTTACAGTTATTTTCCAATACCTATCACCTATGTTAGACAGTGACTTTCTATTCTAAACAAATCCCAACGTGCCACCATCACCAAGAAGATGGAGTCCAGGAAGAAGAAGGGAGAAGAACAGGACAACACCCAGATCCCTCCATTTTGTCCCCCTAGACCCCCATAGTAAAATTCTTCAAAATTTCACCTTTCACCCTGTGAAAACTACTGTTATATTACTTAAACTTTTGTGACTTGTACTTTTTCATTGGTAATTTGTAAAGTTGGTAATTGGTAATTTGTAAATTGGTAATTTGCTCCATGGGTTAAAATCGAAATCCCAAGTGTCTCTGGCATCCTACCATGGTCTCCAAGCCCCTGCCAGGATTTTGAGCCATCCAGTGCATCCAGAAGGATGTCCTGGGTTCCAACACACCCACTCTAAAACATGCGAAGGGTCAGACCACTGAGTATCCCACTGTCTGATAATCCCATTAGGATGAAAATTGAACTATGCAAATAAATGCAGCAATGCACACCTCTGGGCATATCTGCTGGATTTGTCTGTTTGTGATTGCCTGCTCCACTATTTCAAGAGCAGCTTTTACCTTTGGGGTTAATTTTCTGGGAGAATTGAGATCAGGAACACCTTTTAGGATGTCAAATAAGGGTACCAATTGTGAAGTGGTCAATGGTAGATAGAGTCTGAGCCAGTTTATGGTGCCCAAAGGTTTTGGGAATCATTTAGAGTTTGAATTTATGTTGAGAGTCAAATTGTTTGTGGCTGTATGGTCCGATCCACAATTTGGAGTCCAAGGTACCTCCAGGGTGGTTGCTGCTGCACTTTTTCTGGTACTATTTGCAGCCCAAATGTTTTGAATGTTCACATCAGGCTTGGCTGAATCTGTGAAAGGTTTTTCCAGTTGGGGTTGCAATTAAGATATCGTCCACGTAGTGGTAACAGTACACCCCTGGAAATTGTTCTCTTACTGATAATGAGGCCTGAGCAACATACCCTTGACAAATTCTGGGGCTGTTTTTCATCCCTTGTGGTTAAACTTTCCATTGATTATGCTTGACTGGTGCAGCGTTCTTAATGGACGGCACCAGGAAAGCAAACTTTGGGGTTTCATCTGGCTGTAAAGGAATAGTAAAAAACCAATCTTTTAGGTCCACAATCAGAATATTCCAGGTGGCAGGAATCATTGTAGGAGATGGCATACCAGATTGCAAAGCACCCATGCATTGATTTTTCTCAAGTCATGCAGCAACCCCAATTACGGGACTTCATTTTTGTAATAAACACCGGGGTGTTCCAAGGCTTGTGGATGGTTCTATTTGCCCTTGAGCTAGTTGTTCTTTTACTAGGGATTTAAGGGCGTGCAGTTTCTCTTTCTCTAGGGACCACTACACAGGCCAAATAGCAAGCCATTTTAGGGCTACCCAGGGATATTTTATGCCCTTCAATACAGTGGCCCTGATTAAAACTCCGTCCCTTCCTGAACTCCCCATGCAGACAGAACATCCCGCCCTACACACTTCACCTTCCTGAGACATGGGCTTAGGGATTAACTTGGGGTAGAAACCAGTTTTGGATTTAGCTGAAGTCTGTTCTTTCAACTTGTTCAGTCAGTTAACTTGCTGTGCTCACAAAATTCCTGCAGAGACAACAAAAGAGATTCAAGGCTTCTTTGAAAGGAATACAAGTGTCCAAGCTGAAGAGAGATAAGGAGGGTCCCCACTGACCTTGGGGCGAAAGCAGATGGAAAAACTGAATCTGGGTTACAGGCACAACAGTACAGCTGTGTGACTGGAGAACTGCGCAGGCTCATAAAAAGTGGTAAGACAGTTTGAATACATATGCAGATGTCTTTTATGCATATGCGACTGGCTAGGGGATAAAGTGGACTCAGGAATTCTCGGGGGTACGCATGTCCTTTGGGGGAACTATCCTGCATGTGTCCAGCTCTGAAATAAATCCTGCTGGCCTTACAACTTTTACAAGTTGTGGAGTTTTTTCTGCAAATCAGTGCAGCAGTGATATATGGCCAAATTGTGGCTGTCTGCCCCTCTGGATTTCTGACCAACACGGACCTGTTACTCGAGCAGCTCTGTGTGGCCCCTCCGAGGCCAGCAATGGCAAATCCCACAGCCCTTGTGGCCATGATGAAGGTCAAGAGTTGGCAGAGATCACAGTGACATCTGCCCCGTGTCAGTCATCCCACTGACCTTAATTTGTGAGGGGCTTGCCCAAGGCATTGTGACAGTACACGCCATATTCGGTCTTTGATCTCTGTCTTAGGTTGAAAGATTTAGCTTGGGGTGTGTATCCTATTTGCCTGTGGCAGAGAGAATAGGGACAGCATTTGGAAGATCTCGGGCTGTCACGGAAACCGATAGGGCCCCTCTCTCCCCTGACTTAGAGAGATAAGAGATAGCCACAGGAAAAGAGGCCAAAGAATGTAACCTCTCCTAACACTGGCCTCTCCCAGTTTCCTTACTAACCATAAAAGGTAAAAGTTAGACCCCAGAAAGTAGAAGTAGAATCAAGGGTATATATAGCCATCTGTTATCATTTGTTAATTGGGCAGCTTTCTTTATCTTTTCCACAAACCAATCTGTCCTCTGGGAAGATCTTCTGTCAATAGCCCATTGAGCCTCACTGATAAAATTACATCACCCCATTGTGAGATGCTCTGCCCAGAGGGAGGAGCCAAATTACAGAGGGTCCAAAGCCAACCACGCTCCCACAGAGAAGGAAATCTTGGCTGCCTGTGAAGGAGTTCAAGCTGCCTCAGAGGTGACTGGCACAGAAGCACAACTCCTCCTGGTGCCCCAAGGACTGGTGCTGGGCTGGATGTTTAAAGGAAAGGTTCCCACTACCCACCACCCCTCTGATGCCACACAGAGCAAATGAATTGCTCTCATCACACAGTGCATTCGTATTAGAAACCTGAATTGCCCTGGAATTTTGGAAATAATTACAAACTAGCCAGAAGGTGAAAACTTTGGTCTCACTGATGAAGACGAGCAGGGACAAGCGACAAGGACTGAAGAAGCTCCACCATACAGCCAACTACCAGCAGAGGAAACACGATACACTCTTTTCACTGACGGTTCCTGTCGCATTGTAGGGATGAACCAGAAGTGGAAAGCAGCTGTATGGAGCCCCACACGAAAGGTTGCACAAGCTACCGAAGGAGAAGGTGATTCAAGTCAACTTGCTGAACTCAAGGCCATTCAGCTGGCCCTGGACATTGCTGGAAGCTCTACCTTTATACCAATTCGTGGATGGTAGCCAGTGCTCTGTGGGGTTGGCTGGAAAGGTGGGAAATGGCCAGCTGGCAGCATA